TATGAGCCGGTTTGTTTACCGGGATTTAGGCCCAGCGATACGAAGGTAATCAATTATTCAAACTCTCAAAATAGATGTCAGTTAAAGTCTCGGGGCTTCAATGAATCTCCCTGGGATGAATAACTTAATATTTTATTAAATGGTTTGTCTAATTCCTTTCGATGATCTGTGCATATTTCGCCCACTACTGTTTTTAACGGCGTGATGAAAGGTAGCCTTGTGAAAAAGAAAACCGCACTCCTAGTAAGGCCCATTAGCAGTGGTGGTGTCATGTGTTTTGACAACTAAGCAATGAGTATAGTCTAAGTGCGTCAAACCGCACAACCTGGAGACGTTGGCTGCATATGAATATTTGACTTACTCTGTCGAGTTCTATCGAAGCTTTTTCCAACTCTCTGTCCGTGGCATATCGCGGTCAGTTATAGGTTAACGCAGGGATGGTAAGATATATCTTGTGGTTAAAGAATGGGGAGGTCTTCTAGCTTACCTTAAAACACCACATTTATCTTCTTTATCAGAAGCTTCACCAAGACCGCACTGAAGTCTCTTTTTTTTTTTCGTTTCGGAAATGTTTGGAAGTTAAATGCTTATCGATTTCGAGGAGTATTTGTATGAATTCAAATAAGTAAATGTCTTGCCCAATACGGCGACTGTCAAACGTAGTGTTCGTTTAATATTTGCCATTTGCGCCGAGGTTAGCTTTCCGAGAGCGCTCTACAAGCATTTACACTGTACTCATTGTTTAATTTTTGACTCATTTTCATTGTGCTCTAATATGACATTGTTTACTTCTTGCAGATTATGGCAGCGTTCAAGAGATGGCGTTCGAAATACAAGCGTTACAAGAGCCAAATACCTGCGCAGATGAGAAACAGGATAATCTTACATTATGGACTGTTTAAAATAACCTGGGATTGGGTGATTCTTATAATGGTGCTCTACACAGCCATAGAGGTGCCTTTCGTTTCCGCATTTGTGTTAACACCAAAACCTGATGACGAACAATTTGGGGATAATGCAACAAGCAAAAGTAAGCTACCAAATTTAAATATGATGACTTGAGTGTTTCCCACAGAATTAGATCTCTAAGCCGTTACCTGTAAAGAATTGTTTCATTCCCCGACACTCGGAGAACCAAATATGGAGCTACGTCGAGCATTGTGAGTGCGCAAACGAAATCTTGTGATGTGACAATTCATATCGGAAACCTCCACACAAGCTGCAGTTTCACCTGCTATTTACTCTTTTTTTGTAAATTTTTGTAAATAAATAAATGAGGCTTGAACGGGATTTTATAGACAGTTCATTCTAAACATTTTGAACTTGAAACTTAAGTCACGGTGACGCCTTCAAGTCGTCGATCGATTTTGTCTCGCCGACCGGTTTTACCCTGCTTGCCACTAGAGTTTCGTTAATGATACAAATTTTCCTCCAATTTTATTCAGGGAAATATCTGTTGTAAACTAAACTGAATACATTATGAAACAATTGATAGTTTTGCACCTTGAGAAACAATTTTCAATTGACATTTCTTTTGCGTATAAGCTCACCGTGACTCTATTCCGTCCAGTTTCAGTTTGAAAGTCGGGTGTTAGTTCTTGTGTTTTGTTGTTGTCGGTTTGTCTTTTTTGCTATATACAGCGACTGAAATGGGTTGGCAAGCAAGTAGACTCTCCGCGGAGTCGGGCTCTATCTTTCCTATAGTTATCTTATGTCAGTAGTGAAAGATAAGGAGGCTGGAAGAGTACGCAGGGGTCGACGACTGTCTAGCTCAAAAATGTTAAGCCGATTCAGTATGCTTTGCACTAAATGGCAACAATCTTGTGTAAAATGTGCGGGGGAAAAATAAAATCGTTGTGGACCATTCTTGAGACTGTAATATAATCCTCGATTTTTTGTGTTCGCTTACGACCACTAACTTGTAGGTATCTTTCTAAATTAGCGCCGCATGTTTACTACCTAAATTATTCATCCTCTGCCTTAATACTATTTACGTGAATGGTATCGCTGTGGGATTTCATCCAAAAACCTAAAACAAGAACCACCCACTCTTCACAGCACCACGGGGAAGGACTGATCAGAGCTGATCAGTGACCATCATTTGGTTGGTCATACGACAAGATTTTATCTGCACTGACTCTAAGATTATAAACACACTGAACACACATTAAGTCCGAAGTCAGAGCGAAGAAAGCTATATATAGGAAGCTTAATAATTTGCGTGGACATCCGGTTTTTTGAATACAACCTCAAAAGATAAGCTTTAATTTTCGTCACAGTTTTAGCAAAAGAATTGTGGTTCACAATGAGGCATTACTATTTTAAACAAAATGACAAGACTGTGAAAGAATTAACAGAGAAAGGACTATTTCAAAAGCGTTTTTATAAAACGTGTTGTTTTATGAAACGTTAATCGTTGCAGGTGAAAAGTGTTTTATTGTAGAAACTTAATGAGTCGTCGTTAATAACCGATATTCGTGACATCTTTTTAATCGTAGTTTTTATTAGTTTTTGATAATAACTTTGCCGAAACTTGCTTGTGAAGCACTTGTTTTTTTTCATTTTTACTTGGAAATAAGAAAAGCTTTGTCAAATTGGTTTCTGTTACAATGAAAAAGGCTCGGTCAAATATCACTTAAAGCACTTTATAGCACTATTGTTTGTATTTTAATTACAAATTTTTAACTAAGCATGTGAAAATTTTGTCGAATAGCAACTTAAAGTTTTTTTGTTAACTTTCTTGGCATATCATTTAAAAAAAAAACTGATTTGACATTTAAAATATGAAAAAAATATTATAGCTAATAACCTTCATTTTAAGCATGTAAGCTTACAAAATATTATCATATACGTTGTGTGTTCCCCCTTTTATGCGGTGTAAATTTGCATTAGGCATTTAGAGATAAACAGTCGCCCTTAGTTATGAGCTCATTACTAAAGCATTTCCTTTGTCTCACAATAGAGTTTTTCGACCCTTACTAGCCGCTACGCATTTCACTTGAAAGTAGGAAAAGACGGTTATAAGATACAGTCAATCTATCTTATCTAAAATCTTGATTTTATTTTGAGCTGCCTAATTACAACTGTTTTTATATAGTCAGGGCATTGCCACCTGCGCCTGGCTCGGTACCCTTTACAAAATGTTAATGAAATAATGCCACACGCAATATGGCTTAAAACTTAAAGGTTTTATCATGCCTGAAAATCGTGCCGTGTTGGGGTGATTATGGCTTCAAGAAAGGCGCTGTCAGGCCTCCGAAAAAATAGAAACCTGACTGGCATAATCCTTCTTATTAATGAGTGACCCATATCGACCAGTCGTATATTTCACAACTATTAACTGCTATGGAGGGGGAGACCTTCTTAGAAAAGCGCGGGTGACGGGGGCGGGGAGGGTAAAGATGTAGGGTGGCAGGATTTTTTTGTTTTGTTTAGATTAGGGGCAAGGGGAAGGGATATCCAAGGAATACAGGTCCCCCCCTCCCCCTCTGTATAGGAACCGAGGCACAGATCACGTACAACAAAAGAAACTTACAAGAAAGCCAAACTATGAAGCTCCTATGAGAACTGTATTGCTTTTGTGATGACGGTACCTGCAGAAATACCCGGAATACATCTTTGGGGGGTGGGGAGAGAATAGAGACCCTAAGCAAAGACATTTTTTGAGCGACGCACTTCAAGCGGAAGAGTGGGTTTTGTATTCTTTGGCAGTTAGTTTTGCCCAAATTTTCAGACAATTCGTCTCTTTACGATTGAAGATGCTTGAACAATAAAATTGGGCATTTTCAGGCATAAGGGAAATGGCCTTACTTTTGAGTGACGTGTGTCGCTCAATAACGCATTTGCTTTTACCGAAATGAACTGAACTACCCACGTTTTTAAAAGAAGTTTTATTCAAGGAATGCCCTGCTTAACAACATCGTACAAACCAGACATTTCGATGGTGAACCGTCTTGCTCAGTGGTTTAAAAGCGCTTACCAAGCGTGTTTTCAAAACCTGTAGATCACAAAATACTAGCCTGAGAAAACAGACAACATTTTGCGACGCCACCAACGGTTTCCCCGCCAAATGACGTCTGAGAAACGAGCGCAGAAATTCCATACTGATGGCGCGTCACTACCCAGATCTGGGTAGTGCTTCTGATTGGTTGAAGCGTATTTCCCAGGCCTTGCGACCAATGGACCGTTGGTGGCGTCTCAAAATGTCGTCTGTTTTCTCAGGCTAAAAATACTGGCTACCATGCCTATTGCAGATAATTAATGGCATTCAGCTTGATTTTTACGCTTAAGTATTCATTTTGATGAAAATTCGTGTTATGTTTCAAGGTAACTGAAACTTATTATACACAAAACCATACATAAAACATGGGGAAATTAAGTAAAAACTACGATAATATTGTACCACACACACACAAAAAAACTATAAAATGACAACGACGAGACAACTTCGTTCCCAGGTCTTCTCCTATTCACAGAAAGACGAGGGGTCCTGGTCGAGGTTGGAGTGAAAAAAAAATCCGTTCGCTACTTAGCCTATTCCTGGCTTTCTTCGCTGCTTGCTCGCTTTGTTCACCCATCCACACTGACCGGCAGCCTGGCACAGGCTAGTAGCTACGCCATGGCATTTTAGTTGATATATTGTCATGTTTATTATCTATGCAGATGCCGATTCAAGTCTGGGTTATTTTGAGTCAATCAAACGTCGGAATCCTGAGGCCTACCCGCTTCTCTACACAGATCTCATCATAGACTTTCTTTTTATGATCGACATTTTGATGAATTTCCGCACCACTTACGTCAAAGAGGGCGAGGTGCTGATTACGAATCCATGGAAGATCGCTGTTCATTACTTAAAGACTTATTTTGTGGTGGATTTGGTAGCCGCTATTCCCTGGGATCTGCTGGCCAGTTTCAACTCGGGGACAGAGGAGGTCAGTAGGTCAAGACCTTAACGCGATTTTTCTTATTTTTGCTTAAATTTGAGAAAAACCCTCGTATTTATGTATGTTATTTAACGGAAAGGTCAGGGCCAGGTTGCATAAAGCCTTCTTAAGATAAGAGGGCTCGTAACTTTTGTTCTGGAACAATAAGCTATTGTTTTGAAATAATAGTAACGAGTTCCCTTTATCTTAAGATGGTTTTTGCAACCCGACCCAGGCACTCACGGTACTGTCCTTACTTTCTGTTTTATAAAAGTGACCCCTTAACACAGGTTTGTTGTTGCATAAAATATGAACTAAATATGTGCGAGAGAAATCTAGAGGAGGCAGCGAGGCAGAGCGGTTAGAGCGTTGGACTACAATTCGGAAGCCAAGTCCAGCTCTGACCTCTAGCTGGATTTATTCACGGTAGCTAGTCCCGAGTTCAAATCCTCGACCACGCTTGTAAATAGCCAGCTGGTTTGCCTCTGGCCAGTTGGGATTCTTAACCCTGTTACGTTTGATTATATTTGAATTATTTGTTTCGATCATTTTCTCGTCCCCACTAGCACAAGTGCTATAACTACTGCCGAGGGTCAATAAAGGAATTAATTAACTATTAAATAATTAGATGAGGTGAAATAGGTATAAATAGTTATTTAGGTGACAAAGTGGAGATGTGGGAGCAGGTTTCCTAGCAATTCATACATTGCTTTTCAAACCGATCTATTTTAATTAAATCGACAATTTTCCTTCGCTACTTTTTTCACGTACCCTATCATATGACAGCGTGCGAGGCTTCTTAGAACACCATACGTTTTGGCTGTCAAGTAAACCGTTGGATAGTGGAAGAAGAAGAGAAGCGGGAAACGAACTAGTCGAGCATGAAACGTTGAGGTGGCGAAAACTGGGCACTGTTTGTAAAGTTCTATACTTTGACTTCGTATCGTGTGCGATTATACTTCCTGTTGACTTTACCGCAGTAATAAGTTTGCCCTGGTACTAATAAAATTGGCCATGACTGGCCGGAAAGAAATAATATGCAATGGGTTATCTTACCTTTATGAAAAACGGAGCGGTGATTCGCTGTTTGGCGTCTGAACCAACTAGTATAAATGTACCTTTGTCCGTTTTCGTCGGTCTAAATTCGAATTCGGCTTACGGAAATGTACGACGTTTGTAATGGGCCCCAAGAAGCACTTAAACTGCAACACTTATCTTTCAACCGCTAATACTGCTCCATTCTCTTGATTTTGCCAGAACACAATGTTATTTAGTCTTCTGAAGACGGCTCGCTTACTAAGGCTGTTTCGTGCCGCAAGGAAACTGGATCGAAACTACGAGTACATGACGTCCCTTTTATTTTTAATGATCATGTTTTTTATGCTGGTTGCTCATTGGCTAGCTTGCATTTGGTATGCAATCGGTAAAGAAGAAGCCGCAAAGTACGACGGATTATCGTGGCTCAGTATTCTAAAATATCAAATGGACGTGCCCGTGGCTGAAGAAAACGACGACTCGTCTGCCATGATCAGTCTCCGGACGCGGTATCTGACGTCGCTATATTACGTTATGACCCTGTGCACTACTGTAGGGTTTGGAAATGTTTCGGCAAATACAGACGCCGAAAGGATTTTCTCTATTTGCTGTATGCTTATGGGAGGTTAGTCGTTGCTTCTGTTCTTTCTTTATGAATTCAGCTTCTTGAAAACTATCAATGCCAGTTCTCAACCACATCCAAAAGCCAAAGAGTCTAGCCTGAGAAGACAACCGACATTCCGCGGCGTCACCACAGGTTTTCCCTCAAAATGACGTCTGAGAAACGAATGCAGAAATTCCTTGCTGATGACGTGTCACTACCCAGGACTGTTAAAAGTGTTTGATTGGTTTAAGCAAGTTTCTATCGCGTCACGACCAATCAGAAGCACAACTCAGATATGGGTAGTGACACGTCATCACTATTGAATTTTTGCTGTCCTTCCTCAGACGTCATTTTGCGGGGAGACAAGTGGTGGGATCGCGAAAAGTCGGCTATTTTCTCAGGCTACAAAGACCCCAACCTGACAAGGTCGTCTTTTAGATGATGGTAGGGCGTGGGGGAGTGGACTATGCAGACATGATTTTAAGTATTTAGGCATCGTTCTTGACGATAGTCTTAGTTGGAAAGACCATGTTCATTATGTTATTTCTAAGGTTGGTAAAAGAGTTGGTGTCTTAGGGCGCCTTAGAAGGAATATCACTATACATCCAGCTTTCGAGATGTATAATTCATTAATTTTGCCTATTTTTGATTATTGCGATGCTGTTTGGTCCAGCTGCAATAAAGCAGATATGGAAAGCCTCGAAAATCATAGTTAAATCTAAATGTGGTACAACATCCACGGACTATCTTAAATTTCAGCGTTTAGAAGATCGCCGTAACGCTCATATTTTAGGTTTAGTGAAGAGGTGTTTAAATAATAATGTACCACAGTTTTTAAAGAACTATTTTAAGTTGAATAAGGAAGTTATTTCAAGAGAAACAAGAAGAAGCAATTTTATATTCTTACCTGCAGTAAGAACTGAGACCGCCAAGAAAAGTTTTTATTATAATGGCTCAGTTGTGTATAATAATTATTTAGTAAATAAGAATTAGTTTTAATTGTTATACTGTACTATTATTAACTTATAGTTACTTAGTTTCTTATTATTTATTTTGAACTTTTTTATTAGTCTTAATTTAGGGCTCCTATTGATAACAGATATACTTTTAAGTATTCTGAAGGGATTACCCTAGTTAAATAAAGGTTTACTACTACTACTACTACAACATCGAAAATATAGCAAGACTTTTTTTATTTTTAATCAACGTTTTCGTTTTTGTTATAAGAGGGAGTTAAAAAAAATCATAGTCTTCCACTATATATTTGGTTTTGTAATGCAGTCGATTACAGTACAAACCCGCGTTTAAGAACCCACATTTTAAGTCAGCCAAAATAGGTTCTTTTTATACGAAGGAGACGTAGTGTATTTGCTTACCAGAAAAATTAGTGATCTTGGGTTTGGCACTTGATTTACAGTCTTTTTCACAACTGTATTACGATAAGCTTCAAATAACTGATTAGAGCTTATTACGAAAGGTGCATCTCTCGTGGTACAACAATTTCTTGTTATAGAAATTTGTAATTTCAAAGTCAAATTCCTCGGTTAAAATTTTTATCATAAAATAACTGAAACGGTAACCCTCATGCAAGAACCTGCTTGATCTGCCTTGAATTAACAGGTTCTTTTACTTTTGGTTATGAACATGGCAAATTTCTGCCAGCAGGTTAAACCACTAGCTTTATACACGGGTGTTTTTACTGTATTTTGTTTCCTTTTTTTTAGCTGTGATGCACGCAGCCATATTTGGTAATGTGACAGCCATCATTCACGGTCAGTATTCCAGCAACTTCCGGTATAGGAAGGAGTCTCTTCAAATAAACGAATTCGTTCGTTATTTCAAGATTAAGAACCCGCTTGCTCGTAGGCTCAGGGATTACTCACGTCACACGTGGTCCCAAACCAAGGGAACAGATATGGCCAAGGTGAGTATCATGTGATCAGAAATACTTCCGAAGAGCGCTAACTCGTGCTCAGTAGTAGAAAGGGCAAATTTCTTTAAACGTAAGGTGTAAAGACTTTCACATAAGAAAATTACCTGACAGTTAATATTCGCACCTTAGAGCAACTAAACAACTTACAGATGAATGTCCGCCGTTTAACAATATATTATGCGGATACAAACTCTGTACAATATAATAATAAATAGAAGCAGATCATACAAAATTTGCAATTATTGGATGAGGCTGAAAATGCCTTTGTACCGGCTTCGGCGGATAACATCCTTTGATATCTGCTTAGTTCTTCCGAGATCATACGTCATAAGACAGGGGATTTGACGCAATTAGAAACGGGGAAACGTTTTAATAATAACTGAAATTTGAATTGTCTCTCTAAAGTATTTTAGCCACTCGAATAAACTGAAGGACAGCAACAACAATAACAACAAAAGCGGACCATAGCTAATCAGCTTGCAAAGTTAATACGATACCAGAAATCTAAGTAAACAATCACGCAGCTGTTGTACCTTGTGGACAACTAAAGGTTAAACTTAAAAAGACATTTTAGCGAAAACGACATTTACCTCTCCAGCCACATAATTATTCAAATTTTGTAGCGTCGATGCACTTTTTAATTCCATAAGGTGCACAAAACGCTGTCGCTGAAGAGAGACCACATTTTCGTTTTTCGCAGGTTATGGAAAAGTTCCCCGATGGTTTACAGTACGAAATCCATCTTCATATGCACCTGACTGTTTTATCTGATTCGTTTCTGTTCAACTGTTTTGACGACAGCTGTTTGAGAGCGCTAGCAAAAAAAATGCATCGGCACCATCATCTTCCTGGACACCAGATTCTACACGAAGGTGATGACATCGATTCCGTGCATCTCGTGAGAAGAGGAAAGATTGACATCATGGTGCACAACAAACAGTGTGGAACGATAAGTGAGTCTTACCTCTTAAAATTAGCCATAGCTTGCACGGTAGTGCACGGCAGCTGTGGAAACAGTACTCTGCGGGTATCCTGTGCAACGTTAGTTTCCTTTTCAAAGTGTGCAGTGTGCAAGAGCATGGAGCAATGTGGGCGGGAAGGGGAATTGGAGAAGAAGGAAAGGCATCGTGCTTTGTCGCGCTTTCGGATGAAAAGGACTGGAATCAGGTTACATTTAGAAGGCTTTTCTTGATTGTTATTGGTGGGGGTGGGGGGTTGGAATCCACTGGTATTTCCGCCGTCCTTTAACCTCAGTCATACTTTGTTTAGCCCTTCGAAGCTTCCAAACAAATTAACACCTGTTCTACCTCCCCTGCAGGGCTTCCCAAAATGTCGTACCCCTCTAAATTTCTGCTTTCCCTCTCAAGGTCATAATAGATTAAGCGCCCCCCCCCCTCCCCCCCTTGAAGGCTCCATAGGCTCAAACGTCCAATAGGTATCACAGAAAGGTAGTGCTGAATTATTGTTATCTAAAGGGCGACCTGGGCAAAAAATAAAACCAATTATTATTCATTCAAAATATTTCCCCGATTCTGATTGGCTTAAAGCACACGCATAATTCACCATAACCAGTTACTGATGACCAAATTTGGAAGAATTTTGTGTTTAACGAGGAAATGACGTCAAAAATGCAGCGTTCTTGCAGGTTAATGCACCGTTAACCGAGAAGACCTGGGGACGAGGTTGAGTTGTTTTAGATGTGAAAACAAAAAATGGCGGACATTTCACTCGTTTCAAGAGTAAGAACTAGGCGAAATTATAACTAAAAACATGCCAAGAACACAACTCGAAGGGCGTGATCTGCTATTTGGAGAATATTTGCGGAGCTGAACAACCCCTAAACGTGCACTATCGAAGGTGAACTTAACATCGATGGAGGTAACTATGTTTTATCTTTGGTTTTAAACTAGGAATTATTTTGAATGAATAATAAAACAATTATTGAATTCGGCTTGCGTATCATATGAAGAATAATGGAGATCTCGGAGGGTGTTATCCACCTCGGCCTACGGCCTCGACGGATAACACCCTCCTCGATCTCCATAATTCTTCATAAGATACTCAGCTTCATTCATTAATTGTTGAATATGTCATGCTTAACCGTCTTTACCCTTTGTCTCTTCTAGGAGAAGGTGACGCATATGGGGCTAGTTTAAGGCAAATTTCATCCCGCCCAAGGGCTAAAGTTGCCTTGCGAGCATCTACTTGTGTGGACTGTCACGTGATCAAGCTTAAAGACCTTCATGATGTCTTGCTGTCATACCCTGCTGATCTGCGCACGCAGCTGCTAGAAACAATGGATGCTGCTCACCAAAATGATTTATACGATGAGGTAGTTCAATCATATTTGTCACGATTTCCCTTTCCCCTTGTTTTCGCTGCGTTTTACAATCTTACAAAGCCTATAATAGATAGTTAGGTTTTGTCCACTTGCAGACCGACGGATTAAATGCTTTTCACCAGTTGCCCTAATATGTCACACTTCTATTTATGGCGAGCCAACAACTGCTAAATTCTCCTGAAAAGGAAAAAAAAATTGGCCGATATCCTGTGAGATAAGGGGTTTAGTCCCTGTTCCCCTTTCCCCGTTTATTGTTAGACCTTCGGGGTCATTCTTAGGGAACGGAGATGACTTTGTCACCGTATATTGTTATCTGGAATCCAAGACTGTCTTGTTTTACCCTACATGGGGCGACTTTGATGTAGTTAGAGGAAGCATGTTTTAGGTGCAAAGAGTTGAGAAGATTAAAATGTCAAGCGACCGGTTTCGAGCTGATGTTTCTTGAAAATGTTCGTGGAAACAGTGACCTGCGTGTAGTATTCTTCCATTTTCGACGATGCAGATCTCTTTGCGGAACGCAAAAGTTATGGCGGGGGCAGTTCATGTTAAAAAAGCTGGGCTAACGATTGAGTGCTGCATTATTTAACTGTAGTCACAAAATTGGTTTTTAGAGTTCTTTTGGTTCTTTTACAGGATTTAACAAATGGGAACATCTATGAAGCAAACAAGAACGGCTCAAAACCTGGTGCGAAGCGGAAAAATACCTGTACGCACAAGAAAAACCGCTTAATTTCGGATCAGCAATACGAAATGAAACCCATGCTCGGTGTGCGAAGTAGTAAATTAATAGAAAAGGCGCCTTCTCTTGGCTCCAGAGAAAGAGTCGGGAACGGGGACCTTAAAAAATACAAGAGCATATCGTCAGTTGACAATTCAACAGAACTTGCTGGACGCTTTATCAATGTAACACAGTTAGCTGACTTAGGTGCTACTGTTAATGATGAAAATGAACAAATTATAGAACTGACAGTTGAGGAAGAGGAGAATGCTGGCGAGGGGGACCTAAGAGAAGAGGCCCCACAGCATAAACTCAGTGTTGCTAAATCGATTTGCGCCGATTGCAAAACTCAATTTCAACATGATCAGACCGAAGATTTAGAAGAACGAATGGAGAAAATGACATTAAATATGAAGAGACTAGAGAGTCGAATGGAAACTCTGATAGCTCTACTTGAAAGGAGTGGAATTCCTAACACATCTGCTGGCCAGGAAAGAGACTCATGCCAATTTAGAGAACGCACAACTTCAGTCTAACATGGAATCATGAAAATGATCTGGGGAAAGAGAGTGCATGGTAACTTGGGTCCGCAGATCCTGGCACAAACCCAACAATTCGGTCACTAAGGATCGAGGCTAGAGATGCAACACAGCACATGGAAATCCCAGGTCAAACAGTCGCGGCATGAGAGAATGTTGTGATTATTCCGGTTTTAACGGTCACGACTCACATCTGATCACGGTACCTTGCGGTGGAAAATTTTTACATGCGTTAAAGGCGATGTATGAAAAGGTGGCGCGCAAACGTAAAAGCTGAGCGAGCTGAGTCTTAATTTTTACGTTTATATTACGCGCGATCTCCCACGGACATTACCTCTATTTGATATATGTGCGTAGGAATTACGCGACAGTGGAAATACACCTTTACTTTCAAAAACAAAACAAAATTACGTACATCGACCGAAAAGTAAGGATCGGTCATTTAAACGTGGTCTAACGTAGACCGCGGTTTAAGAAATATTTGGACCTCCAGATCTCTTTAGCGGGTCAATTTAAGAACATAAATGCTTTTCTAGTCCACACTTTTTGCTTTAATGAAACTGTTCACGACAAATGGTGCTTAGAAAAAAGGACTGTGCAAACTGAAAATGACTTAGAACGCGGTTTTGTCAAACACTTGTTACACTCCGTTTAAATAACCGGCTCTAAATGTTTGCATGAGAATATTCGCCTTTAGTGGTATCTCTGAAAGCAGTTCAAGCGGAGAGGGTTTTCATAAAGAATGGGAGACGTTTTTTTTCAAATTCATTTAAATTTCCTTTAAACGTTTTTATTATAGAAGCTTGGAAATAATTATTTTGTAATTAAGCATTAAAAATTGAAAATACCGGTGACAATATCGGACAAGAATATTTCTCTCGTCGAAAGATATCACCTACAGTAGGAAGAGAGATTTTTAGCTTCATAACGTATTTATATTACACACTTTTCCGACGCCTTTTTGTATACATCTTAACTTAATTTTATATTGTTGAAGGTTTTTATAGTTTAAACAATAGCCTAACTAAGAGAAACCGTAAGAGAAGCCTTGGAAGTTTACGTGAATTCTATACACTTCTGACGGCTCGAAGTGTAAAAAAACTATCCTTGCTGATTCAAACAGTCTGCCTAGATACTAAACATTTTGGGAGAACTGCACATCGTGTAAATAACAGAATAAGAAGATATTAAATGTTTCTTGGAATACTTAGTAACTACTGTTAAAAGGACATCCGAATTTCTACCAAAAATTAATGTTAGTTTTTTAGATATATTTGAAAAAATATATTTGAATATAAATACATTTATATTTGAATATATGTCATAGTTTAAATATATTTGAAGCTGTTTATAATGGAACCTTTGGTAGATTCTTTAAAAATGCAACTCTACTTCTCATGCGATTGTTATAGTTTTAGAAAACTTGTGGACCTTTGGCTATTTATTACCACTTAGGATTTTTTATGTGATTTACCGGAGAAGTATCTGCAATAAAAATTGTGTTGAATGATGTTTTGCTGTTTAGGCACATTTTCCTAGTAATTTAATTTAATACGCCACTTCCACATTTCCCATAATGCACCTTATTTGCCTCCCCCAAAATTGACCACTCCAGAAATACCATAACATACCATAATGCTCTTTGTTTGTCACCCCAACATTTTGCATAAGCATTGTCTTCAGTTTCTCTTGGGAGTTAAAATGACCCGAAGAGAAACTGAAAACAATGCTTATGCAAAATTTTGGGATGACAGAGTATTATGGTATGTTATGGTATTTTCTGATGGGTCAATTTTGCATGAGCATTGTTTTCAAGTTCTCTTGGGACGGCTGTAATACCCAGGAGAAATGAAAAACAAAGGTTATGCAAAATTTTGGGGGGTAAATAAGGTACATTATGGGAAATGTGGAGGTGGCGAATACTTAATTATTCTCTCCCCTTATGGGGCTTTTGGGGGATAATGAAACAAAAACTTCAAATAGAACATAACCACGGTTAAGAATTCAAACTTGTAGGAGGCGAACCATCACTAGTTGGGCTACTTTACAATGTGGCCGAGGATCTGAACTCGGGACTACCGTGAACAAATCCAGCTACCGGTTAGGGTGATACTTGGACTTGGGGCTTCCAGATTACAAGTCCAGTGCTCTAACCACTCGGCCAAGCTGCCTCCGTGGCCGAGTGGTTTCAGTTTTCCGAACCCCAGTTACAACGCGTTTTAATCTTCGTCAATGGTAATTTTTTGTGCTTTAATTACCTGAAAAATAACACATAAATAGACACTTTGCCTAAGCTCACGGTCCAGCTGTCGGAAGTCGGAAGTCAGAAGTCGGAAGTCGTAAGGAACGTAAGGAGTGGTAAAAAGTCAGAAGTCAGAAAATATGCCCGCTTTCGAGTAGCGGAAAACCAGCTTATTTTGAGCTGGAAACCAATTAAGAAGACCCTCCTCGGCTTTTGTAGCAAACAGGGTGTTTTTATGGACCGGTTAGCTTTAAAAATGACTTTTTCTTCATGCAACAATAACAACAACAACAACAAAAAACAGGGCGCACCTCTACCCAACTTCACGTTAAGTACCCCCTCACCCCCGGGTTGTTTGGATCGGGAGGATATGCCTGTCTAATTTCAAGTTTCCAATAACATTACGTCACAACATCTGATATCTGTCTGTGTGCGACAGATCATATAACCTCTTCATAAGTGTAATCTACAAGACCCAAGAAAAGATTGAACTGCGCTTTTCGCCTGGCACGCTATTTTAACCGAAAACGAGTTAGTTTGGCCTTCTTTTTCAAATCAAAATGGCTCGTTTGTTGGATTTTGTGCTGGTCTTGACGATTTCTATGGTCTATATATCCATTGCTGAAGGTGAGTTGTAGAATTTTTCTTGTATTACTTCAAGATAAAGGGAGCTATTTTATTTTATTTAGACGATCAAGCGCTTTTGTACTGTTGTTTCAACATGGTTTCTAAAACTAGCAAAATGGAATTTTTCTTCCTTTTGTGGCTAAGCCTTACAGGGCGATAGAAAACTCGTTCGTTTTCAAGACGAAATATCAAGGCAGCTTCTTTCAAATGGCAAAATGGGCATACGATTTTTACTCGTCATGCGTTACAAATTGTTATCGCAGCGCTTTTGTGTGACAATGTGTAAACAATTTAGTTGTTTGCCGTTGAGTGCAGAGATTTTGAGAAAAAAAATGTTTCCTGCGTTTAGAAATAACTACAGCATATACAGCTCGGTGAACTAGACAGTGAAAAAATTACGAGCATGTAATACACGTAGAAGAACGAAATATATGTAGCAGCTCTTACATAGCATGCGTAGGGTGTGATAAATACTCGTATTTCCTGATCGCATCTTTGTTCCAAGGATACTTTGGAATAGTCGTAATTAATCCGTTTATTTTTAAGAAAAGCGTTTAAGTCAGATTTGCTAAGCTTTACTATAATTACACTAGCCTCTTTTACGTGTTCCGTATGCGTATGGTACTCAAAAGCTCTAAGATCACTCCTCTTCAGATGGGTGGCTACGAATGCGGACATTTTAACAATTAAATTCAAGTGTCTGAAATTCTTCTTTGCGCGATTAAAATAATTTAGGGACACGCCACCCCGCACGCCACTAGCCACTTCCTCTTCCACGTGTCTCTCATAAAACAAAATTAAGAACGTTACACTACACAATTACAGATAAATGCTTAAGGTGACTCGACCCATTTTTTTTGATGGGGTACCATCCTACTTTGAAGCTCTCTGGTATCCCCACCTTTACTGTTATCGTAAGTCCAACACATAGAATGGATAACATAACATTCTAGTCTGTCATTATACAGCATTCTTGTTCAGCACGAGTGCAATGCAACGCATGGCTGACTTCCGAATGCTCACCGAGATATGATAATTTAGTATGAGAAAATAGAAGGGATTCCCGTCACGAGTTGGGTTTAATTACTGGCTTGCATTAATAGTAAGTAGATTTAGTGTGTAGCACTTCTTGATTTTTTTGCAAAGGCACAAGAAGCACGAGAATTGATTAAAAATTGTGAGTTAAACCTCTATGTATCACGCGATGGCCTGTCTCACTGTACCAAAATTATCATATCTCGGTGAGCATTCGGAAGTCAGCCAAGCGCGGTCATTGCACGCGTGCTGAACAAGAATGCTGTATAGTAGAAAATGCTTTTTCGTGAGAAGGACTCTTAAACGCTGATAAACGTTAACAAATAGCGAAAACTATAATTTCTATCTGTTTGGTTTGCTCGAAATCGCGCGCATTTACAAGGCCCTAAAGCGTTTTGCTGACTTGCAAGGACCCATCTGTTATAACGATGCCCAAAATAAAGGGATGAATCTCATCGTTTATTAGATATAATCGTGTAAAGTTTGCTAATCATTTTCGCATAAATTATGACCTAAATTTGGAAACCGCTGAATCTCTCGAATTGGGTCTTTGCGATTTTGGTGAAACCCTGTTCAGCGCAAGGCACTAATGCACACTATGTGTAGCCGAGAGATTTTCACGAAAAAATGGCGGTAACAGCAGATTTTCGACTCAGTCCTGAAAGTGGCGTGGCATTATAACCACGTGACATTTACTCCGATCGCCAAAAATTTTATGTTATATTGTAGATTGATCTATATGTTATCCAATATATGTGTTAGACTTACGATAAAAGTAAACGTGGGGATACCAGAGAGCTTCAAAGTAGGATGGTACCCCCCC